TTGTACAGTTGATGGGATCATGTGTGAGCGAATGCGCGTGCAATGATAAGATCACGTGACCATTGGCACGTGAAATACACTTTTTAAGACTACTGTGGGGGCCACGATGTTTGGATTGACTTCAATATCGGTGTTGAGCTTTTTCTTGAGTCGATACTTGGTGATTAATATTATGATACCCGAAAACTGTCCACTATACAATTCATATATTTGTTTGCCACATGAATTGTGAAGTTTATTTTGACCCAGTATACAAACAAATACTTGTATAGCGCCAATATACGTATACTGCTCATGGACGCTTCTGGCTCAAAGATGACATTGATATCAGATAGATAGATATCACAACTGCTTCAGTGGTGAGACAAGTCTTTAGATTTGATTTAAAAAGAGCTAAGTCTGATGGTGTTCTGGGGTGAGATGGAAGTTTATTCCAGAGATGAGGGCAAGCCGTCTCGAGTGACCTGTGACCATGTGTTTTTGTCCTAGTCACAGGAATTGTCAAAAGACACTGGTCATCCGATCGGAGGGAACGTGCAGGGGTATAACGGTGGAACAGATCTAGGAGGTACTGAGCTAGACCGTGCATAATTTTGAAAACAAGGAGCAGAGTTTTATATCCTATCCGGTACTGGACGGGAATCCAATGCAGTGACCGAAGAACGGGAGTGATGTGAGACGAATATCTAGTGTGTTTACGTTTGGTTGTAATCGAGACACAAGAGAACATGATTCTCTTCATAAAGAATGTTTCCACTTGAGCTGATCAGACCACCTTCAGTTAAGCCAGATGCTCAGAACTGTTCAGTGACATTCTGGATGCCAATTGTCAGTATGCTGGATGCCATGATAGGAAAATATTTATCTGGAACGCGGAGGCCAATTTTTCACTGACAAGTGTATATTTTTGTGTTATTGGAAAGAGTCACACTTATAAAACACAATTGACCTGAAGCTCAGAAGCACATATTTGTGCGTGAAGCATTGCTTTTTCCCTTTGTTTACAGTTCATTCATGTACATAACAATGGATTGATTTTCCGTCATAACCTGTGTCTAGTCGACGTAAGAATGAGATGAGGTGTTGTGTTCGTGGAGGTTTGCCGGGTCACCCCAATAAGGTCCCAAGTGCCATTCCGTCCAAACCCCACCGACCTATACAGCAAGGAGGAAATGTCGGTTACAAGGCAGCAGAAGTTCGCAAGAAATTAAACACCAAACTTGATGCATTGGATAATAACTCTATGTGTCTGTCGGCGTCAACGTCATCAAAAGCACCACCTTCAACAACATCATCAGCTTCAACGTCATTCACTATGTGTCATATCAAGCACTCAACTCGGATGAAAGAACCAGGATGCAGTCGTTTACCACGTATCCACATTTGTGACAAATGAGCGTCCGAAGTAATTGACATGATGGCATATCCTTGTCTGAATATATCCAATGTATTGTAAGTAACCAAAGAGCCTTTGCCACGAAGAGTGTTGATTTCAAGGCCATATAGTATTTTCTCCTCTGGTCACGACAAAGCTGTCCTTACAGGACTGCGAGGATCCATCCCAGCACGAATATTGACTGTGGATGAAGGTCAACACGTCTTCTTCTTTTCAACATCAAGACCCATACATGCAACTGGCCGGATGTTATCAGACAGTCACTTCAGGATTACCGTTACCTTGGCAACATCGGGTTTCCATTACCAAATAGCAATAGAGGTAGATGCCAAACACAAGGTGATATTTTTGCCACGGTTAATAAATTGCCCTGGCAAAAGGTTTAAGAGTCCCCTTTGAACCAGCAAAATAGAACACAGACAAGTCTAAAATATTCAATAATATATTGAACAAACAATGAGCAAACTACAATGAATGACAATACAGATTTCTAGTACAATGCAATTGAGTCAAAATTCTAAAATATTGGGTCACAAATATAAGATATTAAGACACTAGAGTCTTGACATTTACAGTGGGAGCAGATATTGGCATTCAGGTCTACATTAATCCAGTGATATGAAAAGTCCATCGCACAACGCAACAACCAGACTTCATATAGCTCTTACACAGTTCTCGAGCATTCTAGCAAAGCTGGGCTGTACCATTATCCACTCAGAACTAGGCGATTTTCTCGAACATACAAAACAAATTAAAGCCAGCCAAGGGAGGCAACTCTGAAAAAGGCGTACCGCTAAAAATACTATTGCCATTGAACCTGTATGATGCGAGATGTGACCCACAACCCACACTCAAAACTTTAAACATTATGACCTATAATAACTATCACTTAATCAATGATAATAAAAATTACAAAAAACACACTCTCATAAAAAATTGGGAATGTCGTAGCAGCTACGCCACATACAGAGGGCATTAACGTCCATGTCATTATCTTTGACTCAGCAAAGGACTTGCTGTGACGCTGAGATTGAGATTATGCAGGTCGGTCACGATGTGTCTGAATTGGTGCTCAGCAGCTATACCAATTATGGTGAATAAATTCATATCTTACATTTAACACCAATGAAAGAGTGACTAGGAAAGCTGCAAAGAGTGAGTCTTGACGTTTTACAGCGCTTCTAGCAATATTCCACCAATATCACGGCGGGGAACACATAGACGCTTCACGTGTTGTACCCTAAAACGATCTAGGATCTAGGATGTGCCTATTGCTAACAGGATGTGAAACAAAGCTTATATCGGGACATCGCTTTGGACAGACCTGATCATAGTAACCTCGAGCTCTCGAACAATGTACCATGGTTAGGATTCTATTCTCATTATGAAGTACATGTTTATCAGATTCGCGACATATTTGAGCGAATATGACGTCACCTTAACGACATCTGATCCATCACTAAGCAATACATCTGACATGTTTGGCGTTAATCACTATTAACACATTAGGGGACTTGATACCCAGGCGGCTTATAGCGAACTCACAGGTATAACGACCTCTTTGTTGGTACCTGTCACTTCATGGTCATCAGTGGTATGGCTGTATAACGGTACACTTAAATATATTCAAACTGTGTTGTCCATTAAATGCTGAAACCACGAAACAACATTCGTGTACTTTCATTACAACTGTCTTCAGTACTAAATATTGATAACCTATTACGATATCAAAGAGTTACGTTTTCTTTGAAACACAATAGTCTGTTTGTGAGCAGCGTGTCTACAACGGGGCAACATCCATGCAATGCCATGGGCCGGTTAGCGACGTTAAACTTCACATCAACAAGTCGCTTGCTCAATCTGCATCATAACCAAACTGCCACAGGAAGAACTAGTACACCTACAGTACAATGTTCTCTACCCCGTTATGGTCTCCCCCTAATTCACGGTGCATGTGAGACCACCTTAAGGTGACACTGGTACAATATGCTGCTTACATATACGTTCAGGTTGCAAGTGGACGCACCTGAAGATGGGAGTTTTGGAAACGATAGGTGTCCCAGCAAAGTGACCCCATCAGTCCGATCAGGGCTGGTCCAGGATTTGAGATGCGTGTGTTGGGTGGGGTGGGGGTGGGGGTGAGGGGTGCGGGCGGTGTGTTTGTCACTTCCTCTTGCATCCGCCCCCGCTGTGTGTTGTAATAGCATTGGATAGGGTGTCATCAGAACATCAATTTGTTGTTAGCAATTTGAATTGAGTACGTGTAAAACTATCCGACAGGCTGCTTTCAGTCTTCTGGTGACGCAGCTTTGTCCGCATCAGTGGAAACCTGGTCACATCCAGTATTACGTCTCTCTCGCTTCCCGTGCCCCCTGTTACCAGGTATGTGTTTTGTCAAATGAATCACTATCACTATCAAATAATCATGTGTTTCTTGTTCCATGTTCACCCAAATTAAACATGGGCCAAGCTTTTGCTTGATCTTGGAAAACTATCCCAAAGGCTGTTTTCGGTCTTCTGGTGAATTTAATACATCGCTGCAGCCTCGCCTGCATCAAAGGAAACGTGGCCAAACTGTGGAAGACACCAGTTCTTATAATCAGCTAGTTTGATGTCAAAAGTTTCATCTTATTCAAGTGCTTTTATGTTCTAGGAATTTAAAGTTGTTAGGACAGTAGTTTCTCAACTTCTCCTTACTATGCTTTTGGAACAGTCTATAAAGATACAAGGGGTTTCAGCTTAGTCCATGTTTAAGTCATTGTCTCCTTTTTGTTCTAGCTCAAGCCTTGTGTCCTTTGGACAGTTTAAACTGTGCACTTTTTCATCCGTCTTGCACTTGACACCACGTTGACTTACAGACTGGTGTGATCAATGACTACTTGAAACGGTCGATTACCATTGTTTCAAGAAGACTGACTGAGTTCGGTTTTACGCCGCTTTTAGCAATATTCCATCAACATCACTGCGGGGGACACCAGAAATGGGCTTCGCACATTGTACCCTTGTGGGGATTCGAACCCGGGTCTTCGGCGTGACGAGCCAACGCTTTAACCATTAGGCTACACCTACCGCCCCCGTTTCAAGAAGAGTCAGACACTGTAAGACATAGGTGGCAGTCCTAGGAGAATGAGCACCCGAGTGTCACCCACAGGGTACGGATAATTTTAATATTAACTATTACTCTCTGTATATATTGTAGATAATATATTATAACAGATATGTTCACTGATTGCAATTCGTATCATGGATACCATAAAGTGGTAAAAGATTATTGTATTGAACACATTCAATGTAATTTATAACAATTACCCTTGTTCATTGTATACCTCATGTATAGTACGTGTATATGAGTTATCGCCCTTGATAAATTATTTATGTAATCCAGACAATGATCTTATGCCTCATTGTCAAAGATATTTATATGTGAATGTGAATATGTAATTGTATGTGAAAGATGTATCATGTTTTTAGCATGTTATCTCACGTTATTGCTTTGTGTACTGCAGGATGTCGTTACCTCTCTTGCTACCTATGCAACTAAAAATTCACACCGTTAGCCTGTGTTTGGACGTCCTTTATAAGATTCTCACACTTTTTCCCTCAGGTACAGCTTGTGTTGTGACAAATATAGATCAAATACATCAGTATCAAGTAACCATGTCTTGTTCAGCCAAATCAAACATGGATGGATACTGTCTTTTCCTGGCAGTTGAATGATAATTTATATAAGTTTGAAAATGACTGTGTGAAATTGACAAAATATACCCATATGTTCTTCTTTGTGATTTTATTTGTTTTTAATGCATACAGTCGAAGCATTTAGTTGGAGCCGAGGGTGTTGGTGATAGTCTGGACGGCATCCTTGCCGGTGTCGACGATCTTCTGGAGGGGGGCCTGCATGTTTCCCATGGTCTGGGCTGAAGCAAGAATACAACTAAATTTAACCGAATCTAATATCAAGTGACCGATTTGAAGTCATTGCAAAAAGGAATATAAAAGGAAACTGTGCTCACGACTGGGTTTTATTGTTTTTAACAAGTAAAACTTTAAGATGAAATTTGATTCCATTTAGTGCATGAGTACTGTTTTGAAATTAAATAATTAAATGTGAAATGAATACAAATTGAATAAAAACGAAACCATGTTCCCGACTGGTTGTTTAAGAACGTGACATACTCTTTTGAAAATTATGGAGAACACAATTCCCAGTCAACTTACTCATGATGTCTCCAGCAGCAGCAGAGAGAGAGCCTTCAGGGCATTCTGTCCGTGTCCGAGAAGCTCAGTGGCGCTGTCCTTCAGGGCCTGGACATGTCCGGAGAGCTGGGTGCTCAGTTGGTCAAGGGTTGGCTTGACAGCTCCGAAGAGAGCGGTGGCGGTGGAGGAGAGTGTGGAGCCGAGGGTGGAGACGTGCTGACAAATGAAAACATTGTCATTATGCACAACACGTCCATTGTCCATTTCGTTGTCATGTGTACTGAACAATTTAAATCTTTATTGCAATGTTTAATGATACGTTTGCAGCATGACACATTTATAGCTTGCATGTCACGGCAAGTGTGCTGGTTATCATATGACCAGTATATTCTAAGGATTGTGATAGGAACAGTTATACTTCGTTTTGTAATGCTTGTTTCAATCATGACTGGAATATGTCCTTGAATATATGTTTCACTGTGTGATCCCAATGTTTCACTGTTTGATCTAATGTTTCACTGTGTGATCCAGTGTTTCACTGTGTGATCCAATGCAGTTCCTACCTGCTTGACAGCATCAACAACTGGCTTGAAGAGGGAGGCAAACTGCTGTCCAACAGAGGAAAGGGTGTCGGTCAGGGCAGATCTCTTGTTGCCAAGTTTGCTGATAAGACCCTCGGCAGCCTTAATGAGGAACTGTCCTGGGTTCTTAATGAGGGTCTCCAAAAGGGAATTCTGGAAAAGGTCGTGAAGATCTGGAAGAAAGAAGGAGAACCATCTTAAAGAAAAGAAAAAAATATTATTAAGAACATCACGATGAATATACACGTTCAATATATGAGCAATGAAGGTCAATGTATGTCATGGAGCCTGTGACAGAAGAAGTTCTGAACTGATACATATCCACCAGTTGGGATTTTTCGTAACGTCTACTACTTACGACGTCAATCTCATTATCGCGCCTGTGAATATACCTGGTCTGACTAACTTCGTCACAAGGTATGGAAGCTATGAACAAAGATGTCCTGGTCGTGTATATTTGTATTGAACTAAGGTCAAATATTTTGTAATTTACAAGGACATAACAAAGTACGTATAAAGTAAAGTTTAGATTCAACTTTGGAATAATGAATATCTATGTGGATCTTCTTAGCAGTGAAATGGAACATGCATTAGCATAACGACACAATCAAATGAATCAACTTACTTCGTCAGGGGGAAGGAAACCTGAACAAAGATGTTATGATCTGATCTGATTTGTTGTATTATTTCGGGACGTAATAATGTAGAGTTACGTGTACGTACTGACGACGTTCTTGATCTCAGACAGGATCTTGTCGAGGGGCTCCTTGAGGAAGTCCATGCTGGAGATTCTCTGGGCGATGTTGGTGAGGGAGGTCATGGCGGAGTGGTACAGGGACCCGAGGGTCTCGGACAGCTTGGCGACGACAGACTTGCCCTCAGTGACGAACTTGCTGACTCCAGTCAAGAGGCTGAACGAATTATATATAATATTAATACGGTATATCGTATCGTTATTTACAGAAATATGTAGACTTGTTCTGGCTTTACTATGGCAGTCCGTAAATAACAGGACGTACATCAGTTAATCTGCTGATTTAGGACAGGAGGACAAGGAGTCATCCAAGTCATCTAGACTGACAATCCTTTCCGCTTGGTCGTCTCGCACAGATTGCATGGGACGCATGTTCGTATTCTAGCGTGGAGGGTGATTTAAGTGAGAGAGAGTTTAGTTTTACGCAGCTTTTAGCAATATTCCAGCAATATCACGGCTGGTGACACCGGAAATGGGCTTTGCTTAACATTAATCCGGCATTGAGTTGACGACGGTACTGAGCCACGTTGCAAACCCTGAATTCTCATATCCTTCTGAAATACATCGATATTAACATAAGTAAAACATACTCGGTGTCTCTGGTGGCGGGGGCACCAACGTGGGACAGGGACCCTAGAAGACCTGAAAACAAAGAAGTGATACAGTTTACAAGATTGTAGAATTTACATTAAAACGAAGGCTTCAAGTTTAAGCAGACAGGAAGTGTGCTCAAAAATATTATTTATGGCATTGTGTTTTCATGTATCATTGATCTAGGTTTGTCTGGTGTGTGATTATTAGATGTTGTCTATAAGACACTTTTATGAAACTGGAAAACGACTGGGATTTATCCTCCACACAGGTCCAATGTGCAAAGCTTCTATCGGATGTGCCCTCTAGTCCTTCATGATAACGCCCGACTTTCGTTTATACATTTGGCTTGAAACACTCTTCATCCAGTCATTAAACCAACTTATTTAAGTGACTGTGTTTAATGTACACATACTTTGAGCTCCAGTGGCCAACAGTTGGGTTCCTGCAGTCTTCAGATTGTCGACGAGGGTGTTAGCGACTGTCTTCAGGGGGGTCTTCAGGTCGTTGAACAGGCTGGTGAAGACGTTACCGACGCTGCTTGCAACACCTTTGATGGTGTCAACAAAGCCAGCAGCGTTGGCTCCAGACAGCAGACAGGCAATGGCGACGAAGACGAGGACCTTCATGTTTATTCTAGTTCACGACAGGAAAGTGTAGAACATATGATTTATGCCGTCTTGTAAACACATTTGCACGTCAATGATCTGTTATTGGGATGTGTAAGAATTGCAAGAATGTATGAATTCGCCCAGGTGTTACCAAGTTATTGCCTACAGCTGTTTTCAATTCGGTGATTTCGGACATAGAGTTTTTGTGAATCATAATACAATTCTATTTGGGTTTGCGATTTGTCACCCAAAGCAACTACGTTCTAATTATCCATCCAAAAATGGAAAGAACCATTTTACACTGGTTCCTTGTGTCAATACAAAGGATAAGGGGATTCTTCAGATATACAGAGGCAAAAACAACATGTCCATTCTGATAGGAACTTTCTACAACAGAGACTCATGAAGAACAGTGAACGTTCAAGAGATGCTTACCTGATTCGAACGCGTTCGGAATGGCTCTGCATGGACAAACGAATTTCTTTTATAAGGGAAAACTGGTGGGAAGAGTGGCACCTTTCATGATCCTTACCCTTATCTTTGACCTTTAATCGTGGCCAGCTGTAGGGTGCCGTTACATGTCCATCGCGCCTCTTGTTATCTCACATTTTTCATGACGTGACAGCTTGTTTGTCCAGAAATATTCCAGTTATATGTATGTCCCGGTCTGTAAATAATTGAAACCAGACAATCCAGTGACTGACAGTATGACCATCAATCTGAACAGCTGGGGTACGATGACTCCATCAACCAGGTGAGCGAGCCTGACAACATGTTCCCGTCGGTCGATTTTACGAGAAGTACTGATTGTTGAAGATTAATTCCGCAGATAGTATGTGAGAGGGCTTCTTATGCTGGCTTTGATGTGAATATCCTATACATTCGCGGAATAAATACATGTCTGGTGTGATAAATTTTACTACACGAATATTGTTTTTTTGTACCAAGTCTCTCATTATTCATGACAAGTCTGAATCGGACGTGACCAAGTACGGAGTGAGTGAGTTTAGTTTTCAACGCACTCAGCAATATTCCAGTTATATGGCGGGACCAAGTACGGAACATAATGGAGCATACTTTACAAAGGTTGCAATGGCGTCATCCACTTGAGCTCATCTAACTCCTTCATATTGCAATATGTCATTAAGACACTCTTTTGAAACACAAGATTATTCCATTGAAATCTGTTATGATATTTGCATCACCAGGATTTCAACAAACTAAACATCCACAGCAACGTGTATTGATTCTTACTGAGGCGTGTAAGCACGACTCATAAGATAAATGCCTAATAAATTATTTACACTGCTCATAGACGACACATGTCTCATCTCAAGATTGATGTATATTTACACGGCCCCCTCTATCTCATAAGATAAATGTATATTTACACTGCTCCCTCTGTCTCATACGATAAATGTATATTTACACGGCTCCCTCTGTCTCATAAGATAAATGTATATTTACACTGCTCCCTCTGTCTCATAAGATAAATGTATATTTACACTGCTCCCTCTGTCTCATAAGATAAATGTATATTTACACTGCTCCCTCTGTCTCATAAGATAAATGTATATTTACACGGCTCCCTCTATCTCATAAGATAAATGTATATTTACACGGCCCCCTCTATCTCATAAGATAAATGTATATTTACACGGCCCCCTCTATCTCATAAGATAAATGTATATTTACACTGCTCCCCCTGTCTCATAAGATAGATGTATATTTACACGGCTCCCTCTATCTCATAAGATAAATGTATATTTACACTGCTCCCTCTGTCTCATAAGATAAATGTATATTTACACGGCTCCCTCTATCTCATAAGATAAATGTATATTTACACTGCTCCCTCTGTCTCATAAGATAAATGTATATTTACACTGCTCCCTCTGTCTCATAAGATAAATGTATATTTACACTGCTCCCTCTGTCTCATAAGATAAACGTATATTTACACGGCTCCCTCTTTCAAACAGGTCACACATCCTGGATTCCAAATATCCATGAAGTACAAACTCAGTGACTTTGTGTGTCGTGGATTTATAAAGTATTAAAATTATATAGGCTCTGTAAAGTCAAAACGTATTGCTTGTATTAAGTGCACCATATGACGTCTTCATCATTATAATATACACGTTTTACGGGTAAGACTTCCGCCCTTATCCCCCTAAATTTTAACGATGAGGAACAATTCCTTTGAGAGTCATTTTCAGAAGTAGGACATGTCTTTCAGTACATTCAGATACAATTAAAGAAACATGTTAAAACTCATCCTTATCAGATGAGGAATATATAATCAGGTGATATGATTTGACTAGAGTGAAATTTAAGGGCGGATACGGGCTGAAGTGTTTCCCATATTACTATCTCAGGTTAACACTACCGTGAACGAGAATAATGTAAGTACCAGCAGGATAGAAAGACCAACTGTGTTCATAATACAGCAAGACTCCAGCTTTGGCAACACTTCCCTTGTGGCAATGGTGAAGTTCGCTTGTATTTGGATAATTTGAATTCATACTTATAAACTACGTCCAACAATGCTGTGTTAATCCGAGGTGACATAGAGGGATTGTCCAGCTGTGTGTGAAAGCAGGGCAAGGGAAGAATCACTATGAAGATAGTGTACTGGGCTGTCAGCGACTGGCGATCACGGCATTTGAACAAGAAGACATACGACAGTCGACTCTAATTGTCATTTTTGAACGCAGATATATACCTTGAGTCCTGTATTTGAGGGTCCATGGGAGTCATATTCTTAAATGAAGTCTTAATAGTTGACAATTGTCAACAAGCACCTTAGCTTGGATAGAAATGTTACACTGTGTGGTTAACTGTATGATGTTAATTTTCCACAACACAGCTGCACTTCATTAGCTCCAGAGTGACCTTCATGTACTCACTAGAGAGACAAATGAATTTAAATCAAGCGTGAACGGCTCCAAGAAATACCTATGGAAATTACCTATCACGTGCAGTGTTTAGGGTAAACCCAACCATTGTATATCTATATTCATGTTTTAACAAATATTTAATTTGAGAAGGGATTGTTCCAAACGCCTTCTTAAGGATTCAGTGTGACAAAGAGCATGGTACTGTTGATCCCCGGATTGTCTGGTCCAGACTCGATTATTTACAGACCGCCGACATATAGCTGGAATATCGCTGAATGCGGCGTAAAACTAAACTCACTCACTCACAAAGAGCGTGGACAGGTGGATGACTTCAGCATCGCTATAGGCCTATACTCACACCGAGTGTTCCAACAGCCCCAGACGTTCGTGCCTATGTCTTAGCACAGGTACAATCAAACGACCTGTTTCTTTCCCCAAAACTTTCAAAGAGACTCAGTTTTGAACTTGTACAATATACACCCATATTTGTGATGAACTATTGAGGTGCCGCTACGTAATGTTGGTTATGGTTACCATGACAGTTTGCATGTATATCAAACCGATTCATTGTATCATCACTATCTGGTAGGGATTCAATAAGTCTAAACGATTCATTGTATCATCACTATCTGGTAGGGATTCAATAAGTCTTCCCGATTCATTGTATCATCACTATCTGGTAGGGATTCAATAAGTCTACCCGATTCATTGTATCATCACTATCTGGTAGGGATTCAATAAGTCTACCGGATTCATTGTATTATCACTATCTGGTAGGGATTCAATAAGTCTACCCGTTTCATTGTATCATCACTATCTGGTAGGGATTCAATACGTCTACCCGATTCATTGTATCATCACTATCTGGTAGGGGTTCAATAAGTCTACCCGATTCATTGTATTATCACTATCTGGTAGGGATTCAATAAGTCTACCCGATTTATAGTATCATCACTATCTGGTAGGGACTCAATAAGCCTACCCGATTCATTGTATCATCACTATCTGGTAGGGATTCAATAAGTCTACCCGATTTATAGTATCATCACTATCTGGTAGGGATTCAATAAGCAAATGTCCAGAATACTATTTTATATGTTCTGGACTGTGGAAAGGACGCTTTTATTTCCTATATGTACATGCAGGAACACCGTGGCGACAACTGTGTATTTGTCGAATAAATGTCTCTGGAATAACTACTGACGTGTTAAGGTATTTATTCAAGTGTACAAAGTGTTCATTCTGACGTTCACTACATGTTTTCAATATTTGATTTTGACATAGTAGTTTATCGACATTCTTCAAGTGACATTGTATTATCCGATAAACGTTGACTTGTTCTGACCTTAGTAAGTCACATATACTAGTTGCATCAAAGGCCAACAGCTCCACTTGAACGCGCTGACCTCTGTTTTATATGGAGACCTACAATTAGTATGGAGAAATATATGTCTACTCAGATAAGTCAAAGGCATGACAAGCCAGAAACATGACTTGTAATGAACAGTCCACTGAGTTAGTTAATAGTTTAATTATGTTCATATGATATTCTTTGTGCTTTAGTTCAGAAAATGTGGGATGAAGCACCATGCCTATTATGTACCTAAGCAGGGTGGAGGTTATATTATTCATTATAGGGTGGATCTATAAGCAAACTCCCACAATGCTGACACATAGTGATCCTAACAATATGTTGTCACCTCTGCCTGTATGTGGGGAAATAGACGTAAGCAATCACCCACTTGTTAACCGTGCCGTAGTTGAAATGGACGATTAGCCTTTACAAAATGAAGGCAACATCCATGTCATATTTTGAAAAATGGTACAAATGACATTCATTGTAAGTTTGGACTGATACAACATATATAGTTTAACTCAATAACGAGGATGTGATGTCATTACTGTAGTAGTCTGTAGTAGTCTGTAGTAGTCTACATACATGGCAGCTGGGGCTACAGTGCAGTACACTATTTTGGTTTTAGAAATCATGGGAACACCACTGAAGATCACATCAAACTAGACTACGTGTGTGTGTGTGCGTGCGTGCGTGCGTGTGTGTGTGTGTGTGCGTGTGTGTGTGCGTATGCGTGTGTGCGTGCGCGCGCGCACATACATATATGTGACAAGCAAGACTTGGTATTGGGTGGAGGCAATGTACGAGTGCCTTTCCGTTTCATTTGGCATGAGGTAGACATCGTTTTTGAAAAGCGGGTAGAATGGGTCTCTCTCTCATAGCATGGTGTAGAACGTACAGTCATGAGACATACGTCGACATCTTTGAATTCTCTCGTCACACTGAAGCATTACGCGTTTGGGTCTCTAACACACATGTGCTCTGTAGGCGTCTCTGTGGACAGAGCGGGACCCATACATCAAATACAGAGATCCACACGGCACACACAATATCTCTCTCATATCTCTTTGTCTCCCGCTCTGTCGCACGTGTCTCTCTCCTCAGACATCAACGCCACACACACATCAATCAAACATACAGACGTCAGCTCGCTAATACACACCATACACGTCACCTGTCTCTCTCCTCACACACACACATGCACAACGTCACACATCACGCCTGTCTCTCTCTCACACACACATATACATGTTTATCGCACGTCACACTGTCTCTGTCTCACACACTGAAGCATATGCACGTCACACACACACGTCACGTCTCTGTCTCTCTACATATACTAGTATACACGTCATACACACACGTCACACATCTCTGTCTCTCTCTCACACAAATATTTACATCGTCACACACACAGACGTCACACGTCTGTCTCTCACACACATATACACGTCACACACACGTCTGAGTCTCTTTCACGCACACATACGCACGTTACACATACACGTCACACGTCACTGTCTCTCTCACACACACTCACACAGTGCCGCAGTGTGTTTGGCTGGCGAATGTTTGTTTTCAGACGTGTTATGTTTTGGTAGCGGTGGCACTTATCCTGGTCAAATCCATTGACTTTCGCTATCTTCCAGCTCTGACTTTTGTATCAGGAATTGGTTCACTTATAAACTAATGTGATACTTTGTTAAACTTGTATTAGAGCATCAGGGACATACAGAGGATTGATACAATACACGGGATTGATACAATAGCTTCCAATGAGAAAAAATAGTATCCGTGAGTAGAAGCAGGTGCAGGTGTTGCCATACAGAAAATGAAGGCAGGATGTTCCTGTATGTGTTTATTGGTTGATTTATTGAGAGCCCAACAAAGTTTCTAGGGTCTGCTGAAGTGATGTCTGACCTGTAGAAGCAACAAAAGAAAGGAGTAAAACAGCGAAAACAGATATATATATTCAAGTCCTGTTTCATAAACAGGGAACCGTGTTTTATAAAGAATATAGACGTTTCGTTATGAACCAGTTTAAAACCCAATCGGAACGTTGTTAAATGATATCCCCCGTAAAGTAATTCTGTGTTACGAATCAAGCGAATACAGGGAACTAATTGTTTCAGAATCCGGAAGTGATTCATTACAACTCACAGGTTACATCCTGCTGTACCCTCACAGATCACTGTACCCTCACAGATCACTGTACCCTCACAGATCACTGTATCCTCACAGATCACAGTACCCTCGCAGATAACTGTACTCTCGCAGATAACTGTACCCTCACAGATCACTGTATCTTTACAGATCTTTGTACCATCACAGATCACTGTACTCTCGCAGATCACTGTGCCCTCACAGATCACTGTATCCTTACAGATCTGTGTACCCTCACAGATCACTGTACCCTCACATATCACTGTACCCCTCACATATCACTGTACCCTCACAGATCACTGTACCTACAGATCTGTGTACCCTCACAGATCACTGTACCTCACATATCACTGTATTCCTCACAGATCGCGGTACTCTCGCAGATCACTGTACCCTCACAGATCACTGTACCCCGCTAATCACTGTACTCTCGCAGATCCCTGTACCCTCACAGATCGCTGTCCCCTCACAGATCACTGTACCCTCACATATCACTGTACCCTTACAGATCACTGTACCCTCGCTGATCTATGTACCCTCACAGATCACTGTACCCTCACATATCACTGTACCCTCACAGATCACGGTACTCTCGCAGATCACTGTACCCTCACAGATCACTGTACCCTCACAGATCACTGTACTCTCGCAGATCACTGTACCCTCACAGATCACTGTACCCTCACAGATCACTGTACCCTCACATATCACTGTACCTTCACATAACACTGTACCCTCACAGATCACTGTAACTTCACAGATCACTGTACCCTCACAGATCACTGTACCCTCACAGATCACTGTACCCTCACAGAACACTGTACCCTCACAGATCACTGTACCCTCACAGATCACTGTACCCTCACAGATCACTGTACCTTCACATAACACTGTACCCTCACAGATCACTGTACCTCACAGATCACTGTACCCTCACAGATCACTGTACCCTCACAGATCACTGTACCCTCACAGATCACTGTACCCTCACATAACACTGTACCCTCACAGATCACTGTACCCTCACAGATCGCTGTACCCTCACTGATACCTTACCCTCACATAACACTGTACCCTCACAGATCACTGTACCCTCACAGATCACTGTACCCTCACAGATCACTGTACCCTCACAGATCACTGTACCCTCACAGATCGCTGTACCCTCACAGATCACTGTACCCTCACAGATCACTGTACCCTCACAGATCACTGTACCCTCGCAGATCACTGTACCCTCACAGATCACTGTACCCTCACAGATCACTGTACCCTCACAGATCACTGTACCCTCTCACAGATCACTGTACCCTACAGATCAGATCACTGTACCCTCACAGATCACTGTAGCACCTCACAGATCGCTGTACCCTCGCAGATCACTGTACCCTCGCAGATCACTGTACCCTCGCAGATCACTGTACCCTCACAGATCACTGTACCCTCGCAGATCACTGTACCCTTACAGATCACTGTACCCTCGCAGATCACTGTACCCTCGCAGATCACTGTACCCTTACAGATCACTGTACCCTCACAGATCACTGTACCCTCGCGGAATCACTGTACCCTTACAGATCACTGTACCCTCCGCTGATATGTACCCTCTCACCACTGTACCCCAGATATCACTGTACCCTCCACAGATCACTGTACCCTCACAGACAATGTGCTCCTCTGGAGTCAGATCACTGTATGTACCCTCATGAATCAATACCCTCACAGATCATACCCTCACAGATCAATGTACCCTCACAGATCGCTGTACCCTCACAAATAACTAGCATTTGTTTTGAGTTCACCCTGCACTTATATTTATCTTCATAGACTGAATGGTACATCACGCCATTTTCAATATGCTTACAAAATGGTCCAACAATAGTCACGTTTACAGCGGTATATCTGAATTGTGTTGATGATATAAGCGTATTTGGGTAGAATACAATGACACCGGGGAAGAGACATGGGCTTTTCTCTTCTGCCAGTCGATCATATATGATTCATATATATAGCACTGTGAACCCACCAGCCATGTCTCCAGCTGCAGCAGCGAGTGCCTTCAAGGCCGCCTGCCCGTCCTTTACCAACTCGGAGGCGCTGTCCTTCAGAGCTTTGGATATGCTCACCAGGCTTGTGCTCAGTTGGTCAAGGGTTGGTTTGATAGATCCATACAGCGCAGAGGCAGCGGCGGAGAGGTGGATCCTAGATTGGCCACGTGCTACATACAGTTGTCTAACTATAGTTCATGATATATGTAGAAATAGTTCATGGACATTCTGTCACCTGATTATGTTTCCAAAGTTGAATATTTTTGTTCGGATCAACGTAAATTCACATTTACGTACATATCTATGGTATCGTTAAAATTATATATTAATTGTAAGAGACGATATATTTAGTTCATTTAGATCAGGTTGCATTCACAGGGTTCTATGAATTACTGTCCGTACCTCTTTGACAGCCTGAATGACAGGCAGGAAGAGGGAGGCGAACTTCTGTACAATTGAAGCCAGCGTGTCTGCGAGAGCAGATCTCTTGCAGCCAAGTTTGCTGATAAGACCCTTAGCGGCATTGATGAGGAACTGTCCTGGGTTCTTTGTAAGGAGTCTCCCACAGGAAGTGAGTCCTGGAAGATGTTGTGGAGACCTGAACAACATAAACAAAATTACTCGAATCAAGTACTTACTTTTCAGATACAATACAAAATGAAGATACGGCTCATTAGTATGATGCGAGTGTTTCCAAGAACACTGACTTAGTTGTAAACCAACTGTACCCGTTGGACGCAGGAGGGACTGTGTGCATGTTGTTATTAGTATATCCTGGAACGAGCTGGAGTTACAATGATACACGCGCTAACGTTTTCTCAACGATTGAAGTCAGCGGAATATCCACTCACAAATGCCTCCCTGAAAGTCGTGTGTAGGGATCACAACCGCCAATAGGACTAGGAGCAGGGGGATAGTTACTCACCATACAGCAAGCTATTGGTTAGAAAAGGATAGATAAAGACTATAAGTAACATGAATGACCACTTATCAACCTCTCTCTGAAAAAAAACAAGAACTCACCAACTGAGGATCATCGGCAATGCTCTGGTGAGGATCGTGGACAGGTCATCCTTGAGGAAGTCCATGCTGGTGATCCTCTGGGGCGATGCCAGTGAGGGCTGTCATGGCGGAGTGGTACAGGGAGCTCAAGAGGGTCCGACAGCTTGGCGACGACAGACTTTTGCCTCTCAGTGACGAACTTGCTGACTCCAGTCAAGAGGCTGAACGAATTATATATAATATTAATGTACGGTATATCGCATCGTTATTTACAGAAATATGTAGACTTGTTCTGAAAAGCTTTACTATATGGCAGTCCGTAAATAACAGGACGTACATCAGTTAATCTGCTGATTTAGGACAGGAGGACAAGGAGTCACCCAAGTCATCTAGACTGATGACAATCCTTTCCGCTTGGTCGCCTCGCACATGATTGCATGGGACGCATGTTCGTATTCTAGCGTGGAGGGTGATTTAAGTGAGAGACCTGTTTCCCTTCCTGGAGGAACTTGCTGATACCACCAGCGACGCTGTTGAGCACGGGGACATTGAAATATCGGGGAGAAGGAAATACTGGATATATATCTTATAGTGAAACTGGGATCCAGTCAAGTTAGTGCATACGAGATAGAAAATTATCGTTATCGAAGGGAATTAAGCATACACCATGTATACAGTCAATATAAGATATGCAGTGTTGAAGAGACTTAATTATTGGTGCATGTGACTACTGATATTTCATGACGGTACCTCACTTCCCTTTGCCGACATTAGCGAGCGAGCCTAGGAGACCTGTGAACGAGAATAACCAGAACACAACTGTACATGTTTAGTCCTGACCCAGTGTATGTATACAGCAGATATTAAACCTATATTATCAATATCGCTTCCAACATCCGATTGGTATGAAGATGTTGACGTGTCGAAGTAATGCATCGTTGTAAGAGACCTCGTCATCATCTATTATAACATTTGTCAAGGGCACAGAAGTTGACAGATTCTATGACAGTCGATTTCACATCAGATAAGATGACTTTCAAAGTATCAAACATCATGTCTTAGCATCATAGGGATCCATGGTATTCCTGAACAACAATTTACGCGTACCAGTGAGTATGTGGTGAGTGAGTATGGTTTTACGCCGACTTCAGCAATAGTCCAACAATACCACGACGCGGGACACCAGAAATGGGCTTCAAACATTGTACACAAAGTGGGGAATCGAACCCGGGGTTTCAGCTTGGCAAGCCAGACGCTTTAACAATTAGGCATTTCCACAACCCCGTTCCAGTGAAAACACGTTTTGTATGGTTAGACGTTTTACATGTTTTACGGACATATAACATGGATGATAGTTTTAGTTAAAAGGTAAGTCACTTCGGTACTGGGAACAAGGAGACGCTATGCTTAACGGTGTATGATTTGTTACATTTCCTCTGGCAAGGTCTAAAGCAGCACACCTTGAATCAGGGGCTGGCCAAAGACGAAAGTATAAACATCGTCATCTTTCTCTGATAATGCCAACCACTCAGCGTGGACGGTGAAACTGGGTATTTATAACACAGAAAGGACTTCACTCTGAGCTCCAGTGGCTAGCAGCTGTGTACCCGCAGTCTTCAGGCTTTCCACTAAGGCGTTGGTAACGTTTGCTAGTGGAGTCTTCAGATCGTTGAAGAGGTTTTGAAGAGGTCACCGATGCTAGTCCCAAGACCCTTGAGGGTGTCAAGAAAGCCAGCTCCATTGGCTCCAGACAGCAGACAAAGGCAACAGCAACGAAGACGAGGACCTTCATGGTGAATCTAGAGTACAATGTGAACATCGGCAAAAAGTTTCTTATGATGGCTGGAAGTTGTCTATATGCAGTGGAGGAGACATCCACATGTATACATGCTACTGTTGTAAAATTAAATCAGCTTAAGAAGCATGAACAATTAGCATAAACAGCTTTATAATTGTATTGCTCAAAACATAGTTCTTACGAGTATTAAAAACCATGAATCGTAAACTGACGTGGGACAGCTCAGCTAATTCATAGCCAATGTGCATCAGGATTTCTTGAGCTCCACGCCTATACCGCACACACCGATCCTTATGAACAATTGCAAACCTCACCTGAGATGAGACTGATGAGCAGTGGACAAAAACAGTATCAGCTTCATATCATATAACCAGGACAACATGGTAGTTCCCATGCGCAACAGCACACTGCACATTTGGTATCGTTTTATTTAACCTGGAAAACGCTCCTTGTTTCTTATCAAAGGCGTATGACGCAGTCATACTGTACATATCAACAGAGACTGAGAAGCAACCAGGTACTCTCTTCCACAATTTGTGTAACAAGTTTGACGACCCAATTCGAACACGAAGGGAATTCCTCATCTCACATTATTGCATGGGACGGACATGTGATTTCGTGTAATATTTGTTGGAAGTCCATAAGTGTCCGACCCACAGCCCTGAACAAGAGAAAATATAGTGAAAATATAGCAGAACTGAACCTTAACCATTTCGGGAAAAGGACAGCTATGGGTCCAACATGAAAATGTTAGAACTCGCATGCATACATATGTTTTCTTGAATTCTGGACATAGGGTTGTTGAAACTGTTACTGGTTTATGTCATGAACACCATGAACATGGTGATCCTCCGCATGCATACACATGTGTGTTGAGAATTATGAACATTAAGATGATAAAGGTCTGTTTTGCTTCATGCCCCACCAATCAAGACTTAATGGTTTATTGCAAGATTAAATTTCATTTAAGACGTCCTAGCAGTAATTATTAGATGTTGTAGCAGTAATTATTACATATACATATGCAACGTAAGCTGAACCTGACAAAGGACACAGACTGGTTAGACTATTATTACCTGTAGTGGGTATCACTACCTCTGAAGTTGACACCTTGGGAAAACAAGCAGTTATGATTTCTTGGCGTTTAAGCAGCATTTCGACAGTGATACGGTCCATATAATATGTCGACAATGTTGCAGTTGTCTGTATCTAATCGTGTATTTGTGATAAGACTCACCCAAAGCTTACAGTAAATGACAGTGTTACTCTTTGACTCTCTCTATTCGTCATACTATTCCTTCATGGTGTTGCCGATATAATAGCATGGTGTAGTCATTACAATGACTTACACTGTTGACTTGAAGGAATAATATTTGGTAGAAGTTATTCTGGTGATTTTCAAAAGCAGTCGACAGTAACGGAATCGCTACTTTAGGCTGATGAATGTATTCGCCTATATTCGAGTTGGAGGCGTGTCGTGAATGCAATGTAGCTCACCTGTATGTCTAGTCAGTTTTTTACCTTGCCAACAAAGTATTCTCTTTAAAAGATATATACCGACCGCTGATCTCTGACTGACTAATGTCCACAATACGCCTTCTCGAGCAATGAGGCCATATCGTAAATAAGTATTGAACCTCTTAAGAATATTCAGGTGTCACTATTTTCGGTCTTTTCCCGACACGTGTATTATAGCAGCGAACGACTACAGCACACAAACAGGCACGTCCATAGCGTCACTTGAACTGTAATCATAGTGGGCTAAAAGCGACAGGTTTTGTTTGAGGCCGAATATATGGTCAACGTAGGCCCTAACGGTATGGGGGAGTTCATTGCCGCATCCAAAAATTTGGGACCAGCCAAATTTTTCAGTAGTAAAAGTCCTTAATAGTTCATATTATGATCTATATCATTATTAAATATGAAATATGAGATGTTCCTTAACTTTTTGGTTGAGTATTAGAGGTTTCCAACGAGTCAATTTTTCTTGGAATCAAGTACTCGAGGAGGTCTAACTTTCGACTCGGAGCCGAGTATTCGAAATTCATACCTTTCAAGCAAACGATAGACGTAACTGGCATGGCATTACACAATACGATGTTTTGTGTTATCAATGTTGAAGTTGGTTGCTTAGTAATACACATATACTATCAAGAAAAACGTAAGGGGATATCGGACTTTGATGGCTTTTGATGAGGGGAATAACAGTGAACGACGAGAGCGGAACAAATAATGAAGGATGTTAAAAGGGACCTTATGGAATTTTTATTCAATACATTTGACCCAATGCCAAAGAAACAAGGACATTCTGTGGTATGGGATCCAAACTACACCAAGGGTCAAGCTGCAAATTTACCATACGGTAGAAACCAAGTCAATAATGGAGTAAATCCCCATCTGTTGGCCAAACAGGCACGGATCCGGCATTGGCATACTCCTTATGAGACGTCGCCAAGTCATTCTTGATTGAGAATATTCCAATCTTCTTGCAATGCATGGCAACAAGTTCTTGGATAATGGTGGGTCGTTATTGACGTCGTCGTAGCCGCTGTCCAAGCATGTCTCAGGCATGCTCGATGAATCGCAAGGTCTGGACTTAAGGCTGACCATGGTAATCCGACGATATTCTGCGGTTGGAGGTATTCGGTGACAATCTTGGCCTTGTGACATCTGGCGTTATCATCTTCGGAAAATGAAACGGCTGACCATGGCATCGAGCATATAACAACACGGGCTGCCAGGATGTTGTCCCGGTAGTACTGACCTGTGACGTCCAGCAACAACATGTTAGTCCGTTCTTCCAGCCGCAGGATGTCACCCAGATACCATGGTCAGCCTTAAGTCCAGACCTTTCGCCCATCGAGCATGTCTGAGACATGTTTGGACAGCGCTTACGACGACGTCAACAACGACCCACTACTATCCAGAACTTGCTGCTGCATTTGCCAAGAGAAAAGTGGAATATTCTCAATCAAAATGACCTGCGACGCCTCGCAGAGGTATGCCACGTCGGACCCGTGCCTGTTTGGCCAACAGATGGGGATTTGCCGACGTGACTTAATTTTACAATAATGTCAAACGTCACTGTTCTTTTAACGTCGCTCAATGTATTGAATAAAATTCCATATCCTTAACATTCTTCGTATTGTTCGATTCGTCTTCGCTGTTGCCATCATCCCCACGTTTTATTAATATATAATGTTACTATTAACTTCAGCGTAATAACACAAACATCGTGACAATCTTCTGTACCATCACCGGTACCGCTATCGTTAACAGCGATAAAGCAGCCCTCGGTACTTGATTCCAGAAAATTACCATTGAGCTTAATATCGGCAAAGGTTAAGGAACTTTACATCTCGCGGCTTCATGTTGAAACCATGATATGAATCGTAATATGAACAATGAACTTTAATACTGGTGAGTGTCTAAATTTTTGAATATTTCGCCTTAATTCGTTGACCATATCTGACGCAAACAAAACCTGTCTTTCTTTCACTATGATTACGGTTCGAAGCTGTTTGCGTCCTCGGTTTCGATGCTATTTGTCGTATCGTTAATGGCATACGCGTGGCAAACCGACCTGAATATTCTTCAGAGTTCAATATTTTCGGCCTATGTTATCGTTCTTCGAGAAAACTTGTCGGACGACCAGTCGGTCGAGAAGATGCGATCGTATATCTTTTTGAAAGATACTTTGATGACAGGTAAAAAACGACTGAACAACCCGGTGACATTGCATTCGTTGCTCAACTCGGTATGTTCATTCATCGGCTTCGTCATTCGTGGGCTTTACGAAAATCACCAGCTATTATTCATTTCGAGTCGGCGATTAACCGAAGTCGTTGTTCCATCGCTATTCTCGACAACCTGAAGAAATATTATGAACGAATGAAGTCAGGCTGGCTGTCATTTACTGTAACGAATGATCATCACTGGCGCGATTGAACCTGAACAGCTTCCCGGCATTGTCGACATATTGCGTGGACCTGCCGAAAATAACATCGCCGAAATCGCCAACTGCTTCGTTTTCCCCGAAGGTGTTGGCTCGAGACGGTGATACCCACTACGAATGACTCAGTCTGGCAGATCTTGTCGAGTTCGGCCCGTTACATTATGTTTTCAATAACCAACTGGAACATCTAATATTACTGTAAGGACGTCTCAAATGATTTAATCTTGCAATAACCATTAAAGTCTTTGAACGGGCAGGAACTAAACACGAACGGCTATCGTCTTAATCGCATGGTCCAGACGCAATGATACAATACTGCGACCATGTTCATCAATGAACGTAAATAAACCTGGCGTTTCGGCATAACCCCCTTCCGGAATTCGAAAACAATGACCGACATGCGTGCGGTTCAACTGGTATGTTGGACCCGTATCTTTTCCCGAATGGTGGAGTTCCACTAAGTGTTCGGCGAATAGATCAGCTTGTTGCACCGATGAGTACTGCCTTCTCATTGGTGTACGGTATGTTGCGTCATGCACTGCTTTGACGTAAAAACGATATATGTTCTTGTTGCGCATGAGGAAATTTCGCTGTGTCCTGACTATGGCTGATGCTGTTTTATTTTCATCGTCATCTCAGGCCGAAGATTTGCGGTATTGATGATGACGACATGGACTCGGTACCGGATACGCATTAATAATTGGCTGAGCTGTCCGTCGGCCCGATTCATGGTTTTAACTACTCGTAGGAACGAACGGTATAAAGCTGTTTATCTTTAATTCGCCGCTTCTTAAACTGATTTAAGTACGGTGGCATCGCTATACGGCGTGGATATTTCATATCGAATTGACTTCCGGCCGTCATAGAAACTTTTACGCCGATATTCACGATTGTACGCTAGATTCGCCGTGAAGATGCTGAACACCTGCTATGACGAACTGACGACGCCTCGAAAGGTCTTTAGTCGGCACATCGTTACCTCTTCAAACTACTCTTCGATGATGTGAACTCGTTGAAGCGAACTGGTGGCTTTAACGCTCACTGAACTCGGAAGTAAGTCTTTCTGTGTTATAAACCAGTTTCACCGGTCTGATGATTTGACATTATCGAAGAAGATGACGTGTTTGCTACTGGAATGTTTGGCCAGCCATTCAGTGATGATAATGACGAATCAGCCGCCGACGCCAGCGTCGCGACCGGTGACGCCTTTTGACTGGAAACTGGCGTCCGTATTGTATTCGTAGGCAATGTGAAGCATCTTAACCGCTCGCGCGTGTTTTCGCGAAGTTGATAATTATTGGCGTCTTGTAATAACCGAAGGTTCGATTCTGCTGTGCAATGTTTTGACCCATTTCTGTCACATCGTGATGACGGACTGATCAAACGTGTATACTTTCATGCT